GGACAAACGGAAAATGTAACCAGAAACATAATCAAGCAATTCTGTCCACATATCAGGAATCTATACTAGCATGCTATTCTAAACTCATACACATATAACAAGCATATAAGGCATCCTCCTAGATCCTTAGCCCTAATGTAGCATGCAGTTCTCATAAGCATATCATATCTAAACAAACATGTATGGGTAATTTGGGAGAACTTACTTGAGCTCAGCTGATTACATGCACCACACCCTTTTCTCTTTTCAAAATTCTTTTCTCTTTTCAAAGTTCCTTTATGTAAAAATGATTTTCCTTTGAAAACTTTTCATACCATTTCCTTAATTTGAGTTCAGACACACCCGAGATTGTGCCCGAATCCCTCAAACCAAGGCTCTGATACCAACTTGTCACGTTCCAAAAATCAAGACCAAAAATTTCATTTTAATTGATTAATAAAACCATAAGTTATCAAAACATTTCATCAAAACATTGTCATGAGGGTTCCATATCAAAAATCAGAGTAAAACATCCCAGGCTAAACATCATGGTGTGTGCGATGCAGTCATCCCGAGCTCTTCCCTCCGCTACCGGAAGTACCTGAAACCAAAACTGAAAACCGTAAGCATGAAGCTTAGTGAGTTCCCCAACCTACCACATACCATACACATAACCACCTACTGGGGCCCCGCCCGCTGCATCGGGACTTGCCCGACATCGGACTCGCTCTGGCATCGGGCCCTGCCCGGCATCAGGCCCCGCCTGGCATCGAGCCCCGCTCGGTATACAGATCTGTTTCTCTTAGGCCTCGCCTATCTCCGCGCCCTGCCCGCTGTATATATACAATCACATAAACATACTAGCACATAAAGCAAACATACACTACAATATTCCTGTTCTAAGGCCTCGCCTATCTTGGGCCCCGCTCCTGTCCTGCTACTGAAGAGTCATGGAACCCCGTCCATGCTCCTGCTAATGGTGAGATGCGGGCCCCCGCTTACACTCACCTCTCTCCTGTCCCGGGCCCCGGCCCTGCTCTGCTAATAATGAGATGCGGAACCTCGTCCGCACTCAGCTAGTGGTGAGATACGGGACCTCTCCCACACTCACCTCCCTACCAGGCACATACATGTATCACAAAGACAACAAGTATCAACTACTATGCAACATATAACATTCCTTGGGCTTACCTCGGCATCGGACCCTAGTCCAGAACATACTACCGACACATGCAAGAATCACAAAGACCTCTAGCATACTAACATACCTCGGGCCTCGCCCAATATCGGATCGTAATCCGGAACACATACCATAAAAATGCCTAGGGCTATCCCTCGGGTCTTCCTACTATACGCAAACATAATGGGCCGGCATTGTGGCCGTAGACCCATGCACACAATGAGGAGACTCACTTCACACTGCTGAAGTCCTGCTGATACTCTTCTGGCTGCTACTGGCAATTCCTTGAACTGCTACTCCTTCGGCTCCCCGAACTACCGGTAACAAAACACACTTAGTCCCAAAATGTCCTCAAGCATCAACTAGGTCAACCTTGGTCCAAGTCAAAGTCAACGCTCCGAGTTGACTCAACTCGCCGAGTTGCTCCTTCAACTCGTCGAGTTCTAAAACTCGGAATCCAAAGATCGCGATCCAACTCATCGAGTCAGCCCCTGACTCGACGAGTTCCCTTGCTAAACATGGTCACGATTTATCGAATCAACTCGTCGAGTCAATCCTCAGACTCGTCGAGTCTACCATAAACATAAAAGGGACAACTCACTTTGACTCGTCGAGTCCCTCCCTGGACTCGTCGAGTCCCCCGGTCTGTTTGGACCATCTTAATGGATTAAGCCCCTATACTTCAGATCTAAGTCCCAAACTTCGTCTACATGCTGGAAATGATCTCTTAAGGGTAAAGTTTCCAACTTTACCTATTACTAGTCCTTCTTAATGGGTTTAGCTCAAACCCTAGCTCCTTAAGACATAGATTCATTGTCCAAAGACCACAATATTCCAAACTAAAGCACATCCACATAGATCCAGGCCTTAGACATCAGAAGAACATGCAAAGTCTCTGTCTTTCCTTCCATGCATGGCCTTTTGGGGCTAAAAAGGCCATAACAACTCCTTAAAGCTTGCATCGGGTTTCTAATGGCATAAAGCTTGCACCTTTATGCCTTAACCACCCTTAGGGATTCCAGATCTGAAAGGATCTTGCTTGTGACGTCCTTGTCCCATAGATCAAGCTCCATGGACCAAAACTCTCATGAAACGGACATAAATAGATCTAAGAAACTATAAGCCAAGATGAAGACTTGATTACCAGATAATGATGGAAATGAGATGGTGTTGCTGGATCTACTAGCTTCCTTCTGAATCTCTAAGCTTCCTCTCTTCTTCACAAGCTCCAAACACACACTAAACTCTCAAAAACAAGCTCACAAGCTCAAGGATGCACTAGGGTTTCATGGATTAGGTTTTGGGGCAATGTAGGCTGTAAATGAGGCCAAGGGGTAGAGAATGAGATGCTTAAATAGGGTACATAAGCCCGAAATTAGGGTTTCCTAAACCCAGACCTACTCGTCGAGTTGGTCCCCTAACTCGTCAAGTAGATCACTTAACCCGCGACCCAAAATCCACCTCTACTCGTCGAGTTCCTCCCTGGACTCGACGAGTAGCCTTCTTGATTTAGGATTTTCTTTCCTTTCTTGGTCTTCTGGATTTCGGGTGTTACACATGTAATTTACCCTTTTTAGCTATTTTCATATTTGTTTCTAGACCTGATGGTTTATTGGTCATTATAGTATCATACTTTCAAGTTTTTCCTATTTCAACATTGTACTATGAGAAATCTTACCAATTTATAGCTTATTCTTGCATTTTGTGATGAATAATTATGGTGTGTTGAAATAGGAATTAATCTTGCATTTGTTGGTGATTTACCCATGTGGTGGATGTTGTTGATTATTGTATGCTAGACATTTTTACCCCTCAGTGTGAAAGTAAGTACACCTCATGTATTGGATCTAATATATATAATAGCAATGTACTTTTGTTACTTGTTTAAATTTGTTAAAATATGTAGTTTTTGACTCCCTTTCTCATTCTCACACGCCACTGATTTACAACGAAGACAAGCACACCATAAATAGCAATTGGCGCTTTTATGAGATTGTTTAACCCTCGGTAATCCAACAAATGGTTTTTAGTTTTTTTTGGAACTAAGTAGTTAAACATTTATTATATTTTGTATGTAATTGTATTAGACATTTTTAATGTATTAGACAATTTGTATAGTATGTCTATTAATTTAAGTTGTTTATCGGAATAACATACATGATGTTAACTGAATAATATTTGGCATATAAATGATTTTAAGTTGTTCAACAATAGTCATGACAAATACAAAAGTGTGATTGAATGTCGTCAATAGTTACTGTTTAATCTATTATGTGTCACTAAAAGTCAATAATAGTTATGACAAACGAAAAAATGTGTGACTAAAAGTAAATTACGACCACGGGTTAATATAAGCTACTTTTTGGTTTACCAAACACGACAACATAAAAAAGCTTGAAAAATAAGCTAGTTGTAGCACGCCAAACACAGCTTAAAAGTCAATACTAGTCATGACAAACGAAAAAACATGTGACTAACAGTAGTTTATGACCACAATTTAATAAAAAAATGTGTCACTAAAAATCAATAGTAGTCATGATAAACGAAAAGTAGTTTATGATCATGGTTTAATATATTACGTGTCACTAAAAGTCAACAATAGTCATGACAAATGAAAAAACATGTGGCTAATACTAATTTTATGGTCATGTTTTAATATATTACGTCACTAAAAGTCAACAATAGTTATGAAAATAAAACAACTTGTAAGGGAAAGTAGTTTATGGTGATAGTTATAAAAAATGATTGAAAAAACTACAAAAATTAGTACCCTATGATGACGGTTTTTACCTACAGTAACGGTTTTTATAGGTTATAGTCAGCACGATTAAACGTCACCATAACTTACTTTTAATGATGCAACATTTCCTCACATTGAATGAAAAAAAAATCCGTCATAAAATATCTATACTGACATGTTTTGAACCAGTGATATTAAACTTATAAAACATATATAAGAATCCAACAAAGCCAAACTCATCCTAAAACAAATGTTAGATAGTAAACTTCTAAAACATATAAATAAAACAATTTGTTGGTGATTATAGTGTTATTAGTATTTCGGTGTAGTTACGATTCTATTTGAAACGAGTACGAGTATCTTTTAGTTATGTTTTAAGACTTGGGGTTCCAAGGGCCATTGCTTTTTTTTTTTTTTTTTTTTTTTTTTAAATTCTGCCAAAGGACCCAAACTTTGTGTCCATTAAGAGGACATCATTGTTTTCACCGTTAAAATATATATATATATATATATATATATATATATATATATATATATATATATATATATATATATATATATATATATATATATATATATATATATATATATATATATATATATAGAAGACTTGAACATTGCAAAACATTTGGAAAATCATGAAATATGTTTTCTTCTGCATGCAAACTTGTCTCTGGATACGCAATGATTGCAAGCTATTTTTGTGTTTCAAAATTTGGAATATGCATGTATTCCAAATCAATTTATTATTGGATTATTCCAATCCCACCCAGACAATTGGTCGAAATCATAAATGTTGAAAAATGTTTTTATACAAGATCATTGAACTATCCAAGTATATTGATTGATATTCTAAACCCAAAATCTAACACAACTAAACAAACGATTGTGATACCATTTATCCAAGCCTTCACTTTTTAATTTTCACTAATATATAGATTTATACGAGTACCTACACTCACATATATCTACTAGGTGTAAAGCCTTTTAGCACAAAACTATCCATAAACTTTGAATAACCATGCTACACAAAACTAAAAACCAAATTTCCAACAAATCGACAGAACTGAAATCGTTTTATTTATATACACTTATACAGTCTTAAAGAAGGGTAGAATTATCGCCACACATACGGCCATGCTTCTTGTCTTTGTATTTGTTTCCATCTGATGACAGCTTGTTTTCGATCATCTGTTCAGATTTGGAGTTCTTAATTCGCAGTCTCCCGATCCGATTGTTTGCTAGCGTGTGGGAAATTGAGGAGGGGACTGGATCGTAGACGTCTGGGGCCCACTTCACTGTCAGCTTTTGAGGTGGGGTCACTCCTCGTTTCTCTAGGCTACCTTTCTTGGCTGATACAGGCTTCCGAGCAGTTTTTGGTTGTTTCTTGGAGGGTTTTCCTCCAGCGCTATTGGTCATAATCCTCTGGTGGGTTGGTTTTCTCAGAACATTCATTCTTATGAAATCTTGAACGTATAACTAGCCCTTGTATGCTCTTATATAGACGGTAGCAAGGGAGTTTTACCTGTAACGAAAGAATGGAGATCGGAACAAGGAAACCTAATGGAAATACGAACGTTCATTATGGGTTTGATTAGTTATCTTGTTACAAGGATTGACAATTTGATTTGTAATCGTGTTACAAGAACTTTGGTTTGATTTGTTATCTTGTAGTTATCTTGATTTCTTATTTAATTTGCAGTTAATAAAATAGTCGGGTTTATAACCTAGTTCTTTTAATGTGATTATTTAATGCAAACTTAAAAAATGCAATATGCTAAGTTACTAACACATTTTTACGAATCAATGTTACATTTTTTTAAAATTATTTTAAGAACAACTTTATTATTGATCTCTCATGAAAGAATGGATGGTATATTATACAAGATGTAACCAAGTGGATTAGAACTATTATAATGGTAAAACTACTCTAATACTAATTAGATACAAAGTAATCTACTTAAATAATGAATCTTTATCTATTACAATGAGAGGAAAATTGTCATCGAAATCATTAGATGAAACAAAAAGGTATTATTTTGACTCAAGTAACGCTTGATCATCGCGAGTATTAGATCACCTCGGCTATAATTTAGCTAACGTGTTAGCTCCAGGCACTACCCCGCATCAACAAATTATAAGAACGTGCATTTTTCATGGGTAATATGAGATTTATGTTTTTATAAAACGGGTTTTGTTTTATTTCGTTAAAATCTTTTAACTTTTGAAAATATTCAATTTTAAATTCATTTTACAACTTTAATAGAAGCTTCAATTTCAAAATTTAAATGTAATCAAAATATGAAACAACACAAACATGTGCAAGTAACGATACCACCAGCCTGAATCCTATGTGTCTCCCCTATGAACCATCAAAGGAGAGACAAGTCGTACTAAGGACAAATGGACACTTCAAAGCTCTCACTCGATCAACCACCAACTCGTGATGCTAGCTCGAACTCCATGGGACTCCAAATACCTAGATTCTCTTCTTGGCCTTCGATCTTCATAAATCATAGTATTACAATTTTCTATTCTAATACAAATTTTCCTAACTAAACAATTATAATTTAAAAGAAAAATTACATATTATAAAAATATAAAGACAAAAAAAAAACATACTACAACACATGGGTTAAGTTGATGCTTAGTGTATCAGATCCATAAAATTCAAAATAAACAACTATTTTGAACTTGGATTACAACTTTTAGATTAAATAAATTATCATAAAATTGAAAGCAAGTTGGCATGCAATTGTTTGTATGATATCACATTCAAGAGATCATCCAAACAACAATGTCTCAATTTTGTCTTAATTAATAATTAGAATTAAACAATTAAAATAACAAACAAAGTGATACCCAACTTTTTGTGTAAAACCATCATATATGCATAATATTTGAATCAAATGCATTAAAGTGACCACAACATATTCAGTTTGAAAAATCAATGTTTATGTGAATAGTAAACAAGTGTCGCGAACTAGAAGGTAATCCATGTCGCGAACCATAAAGTCTCACGCCACATTCCATAGATTTGGGTTCGCATTTTCAGTCGCCGACGCACCATGAACGTAAAGGCGTCGCATCGCGCATGTTGCCCAAAAATAATTTCTGCTTAAACTTTGTGACACTGGCTCCCTATATTTTAATAATTTATTAATCAATTTAAGTTGAAAGAAGCGAGGTTTTGGGGGTTTCGTTGCGTGTGTCATGCCATTAAGTAGAGACGCGACTTAAGTGACCTTCACGACGCGATGTCGATATTGCAAAAACCCTAAATTTCGGGCTTTGGGCCATATATAATGATACTAACCTCTAGGGTTCTCTCTTATCCTCAACCTCCACTCTCAGATCGAAACCCTACCCTCTTATCTCTCTCCCATTGTGTTCTTGAGTTTTTTTGTGTGAATCTTGGCGAATAAGGAAGCATTGGTGCATTGAAAAGCTCATTCCAACATAAGAATCTACCTTCTAGACCCATTTCAGGTTTTGTAAGTTCTAAAGTCTCGTGCTTTATGATGGTTTATGCTTAGATACATAGATCAGATGAGTTTTTGGCTATTTAGGTGCTGTTTGTTTTTTTTATAAAAACCTCTTCAAACCACTTATTGCTGCGCGGCGCAGCACACGCGCAACACTTTCCCTCTCGCAGCAGTTTGTTTTTTGGAAGACTTCAGACTACAAAACCTCTGCGCGTGTGCTGCGTGGCGCAGCACTTGACTTGCCTCTTCTAACCTCTTCAGCTTTCATTTTTTCCAAGTGTTTTTTTTAAGAATTTTTGTATAACTTTTTTTTAAACTTTGATTTTCTTAAATTTTTATTTACGGATGTGATACAATTTATTTTATGGTTTCCACGATTTTTTTTTAACTTGATTTTTTTAATTTTTTTTACCGTTTTATTAATAATATTTTCAATTTCAGTTGCATCTTTTTTAACGTGTGTAATTTTTTACGAACTTTGTAGACATCGTTTGCAATACTTTCTTAATTTTTTTTATTATTTTCTTTTTTAATGTTTTTTAAAATTAGTTTTTTTTCTAGAATAAAACTATTAGCTTCTTTTACATTTTTTTAAGTTTTTTTTTTAAAAAAAAGTTTTATATTTTTGTTTTTTTACATGTTCTTTTTATTATTATTTCAATGTTTTAAGACTAGAATTATTAAATTTCGGTGTTGAGAACTATTTTCAGTTTATAAAATTAGTTTATTTAAATTTCAGTTTACTGCAGCAGTCTGCAGATGTTAAAAAACAAACATGCTTCTTATTATAGGCTGCAACCGTTTGTTCCACCTCTTCTGCTACAGAGGATTGCAGAGGTGGTCCGCAGGCTTCATGAATTTTTGCTTCGAAAAAACAAACAGCACCTTAGTGTCCCTTTTCTTAATGTTATTGGAGTTTGAAGAACTTTGGAACATTATGCTTGCCTTTGGATGATTTTTTGACATTTTAGGGTCAATGGAGTGCATGTTAAGACTCTCTTTGAGCCATGTACAAGATGTTGGTCATTTAGGGCACTTAAGTGAGTTACGGTTTAAGATTGGGTTTGATTAAGTCATGGATCTGGATAAAGTTGTAAACGTTATCCATTAAGATCCTTATTTGATTCAGATTTGAAGGTATGAGCCTTGGTCTTAAGATATTAAGTGCTTAATGGAAAGTTGGTTATGTCATGGGCTGGGTCGCAGTGCGGTTGAATGTTGACTTTTGGTTATACTTGTTGGATTTGAATTAATAACCGAGGTTGGACCTCTATTTGGTTATAGGTGGTTTGTGATAACTGTTTAAAACTGAACCGCAACTGAAAAAACCGCACCTCATAGAAAACCAGAAAAAACTGCACCGCATAAAAACCACGTGGTTCGGTTTATGTAGTTTTAAAAATCATATTTGCGGTTTGCGGTTTGATTTTGGCCAAAAATTGCACCAAACTGCATCATGCTCATCCGTAACTAATACTGCCAACCGCTCATGAATACGTAGTCATATGTAATCGGGAGTCGAATAGACAGTTAAACAGATGATCCCACTCTAAAACCACAATCAAACAAGGAACATGCAAGAAAGCCTAGACCAAGAGTTCTCAGGCTATCCAACTTAAACTACATACGAACCCTAGGGTACCCATTTAACGATCAATTAATACTATCATTACCCTACTAGTCTAGCATACCATGACACCAAGTGTCCTGTACTGCATATACATAATAAGAAATTATCCTAACCAACTAGCATACATGTTCTCTAACAGCACCACTATCCTAATATGCAAGGATATACAATGTCATACGTGGCATGGTGAGAAAACTCATCTGAGTCGCAAAACCGAAGAAGCATAACAACACTCTCACTCCTTGGGTTGATCAATCCCGTGAACCGACTAACACCAAGTAAAGATCAATACTCAATCAATAGCCTAAATCCTTCAAGTTTGACCTAAGGTCAAACCGGTCAAAAATCAACAATCAACGGTTAACCACGCCGTGGTGAGCTCTTGGCCACGTTGTGGTCAAGTTAGGACAATTCAGTCGAGATGCGATCAAAGCCCATAACTTTAGGCCTGATTATTATCAATGACTTAATGGATAAAAGTTTTCAACTTTATCAATTAGGACATCACCCTAAAGCTAGATCTATAATCCTAAGTCCATTAAGTCCTTCAAAGGCCAAGTTTTTATGATTGGACTTAAGATAACCAAAACTTGGACCTTTTTCTTACTCTATAGAAGTACATTGACCATTAGAATGCCATAACAAGCTTTGGAGTTCCTCAAACTCAAAGAAAATTCATGAAAGATACCAAAATCATCCATAAAGAGCATAATCTTGAATCAAGGAGAACAAAAGTCAAGATGCAACAGAAATCCGTAGAAGATTATGGATCTATGCTAACTCTTTGCTTCCTTTCACCAAGATGAAGTTTCTTCTTCCTCGAGCTTCATAAAATTAAGAAGACAAGCTCAAGGTCAAGCCACCAAGCTTATAACCATGGAAGGGAGGCTAGGGTTTCGAAATGGAGAGATGGAGGCTGAAGAAAAGGACCTAATCCAAGAGTTAAGGCCCTTAAATATGGGAGAAAGCCTAAAATCTTGGGAATAATTTTTATGCTTAAAGACAAAAAGGATTGTGAATAAATTTTATGCTTAAATAATTTTTTTTATTTAAATGTCAGAATTAAATGATATTTATAAAACTAATTACTTATAATTCTAATACTTAGAAAATGTACCATTTTTTTTAAACAATCATTTTTTCTGTAATGAGGACACTCCGGATTACTTTATGTCAAATAATAATAATAATAATAATAATAATAATAACTATTTATGACAATTGCAAATTTCGGATAAAAAACAATTATAGAATTTCAAGAAAAAATATGAATTCCAATGAATAATTTCAGAATTTCAAAAGAATTATTAAAATCTAAACAAAGTTAAACAAACATAGCAAATAAGACACATATAAGATATACAGGTTTAAAAAGTGACATTTTATTGAAAAAAATGTGATATTAGACATTTCGAACATCAATAGAGATTTTTGAAAAATATATATATTTTTTATGAAATATAACTAAATTGGTTATTTTGCGAAAACACAATTTTTTTTTATTATTTTATTAAAACGTTAGTTCTGACAATTATTTGTATTAGGAAGTTGATTCAATATGAGTAGACTTGTTTTTTTAGAGTATTGGGTATGTGTCACACCATAACGTTGCCACATCACCATTTCTCTCCTCCGCAAGATTTGGGGATGGTATTCAAGACGGGAAGACACTGAGAGAAGAAAAGCATAGGAAAGAAAGAAAATGGCGTTACACCGGCAACGAGAAGCAGATGGGGCGCAGGGTCAGTGGTCAACCGTAGTCGAATCAACAAGATTTTCAAAATTTTCTTTCATTTTATACATACATACATGCATGCATTTAGACTATGCATATAATCATGTTAATGTCCACATATGCTTACATACACATACGTTTTTCAAAGATATTTTTAGTGTTTTTTTCAAAGATATTTTTAGTGTTTTTTTCAACATTTCAAGATGCGGCTGACAAACACAGGATGTCTAAGTATTTGTGGTGGTGTTTCGAGTGAAAAATTTTAGTCTAAAAATTCAAACATTGAAAAACATAACTTTCTTGTCATCGGTTAAACCATAAACCTGCTCATAATCAACCCGCTCTCTTCACCGAGTCGCAGTCCAACCGGGTCGACCCGGATTTTAAAACATTGAGTCAACTTGTGAAAGCAGCTATTTCACTGCCAAACCTCATCACCCACGTATAACTGAATCTTGGCCCTTTTGAGTTTTGACCCGCACCTCAAACCCGTTTTCCCTCACAAGCAGGTCGCGACACTTTTCATCTGGATCCACCTTGACCAACTGTGGATCTAGATGGCTTTTTCTTTTCATTTGGATCACTCATTAAACATAAAGACCAGAGGGAGTGGGTGCAGTTGCACCCACGCTTCCGCCACATCATCAGCCAAAACACCACCCCACACTGCGGTAGGAACCGCAGTTTCCCTCCCTCCCTCTTTGGTATACCACACCTAGCGTGTGGCAAAGAACCACACTATGTGGCAGAGGAGGGAGTGTGGTTCTTGCGGCACCACACCCTCCAGCCTAATTGCACTATCATTTAGCCAAACTTTTAGCTTTATTTTTCACTAATATAGAGTTATACAAGTCCACCCACACATACCTACGAGTAATTTGCATCAGTTATAAAGCATTTAGTACAAACCCATCCATAATTTTTTAATACTTGTACTACCAGAAATACACGCAAATCTGTGAAAAATTCACACACTATCAACAGTACTTCAATCATTTTTTTATTTACAATCTTCAAGAAGGATAGCGTACCTGGTTTGTGTCATATCTCTTCAGAAAGCTGGTCCCACAGAATTGATCTGGATTTCCGACATGAAACTCCATGGCGGTTGGTGGCGGCAGGGGATAATCACCCACCACCTCCTCCTCCTGCTCAGGCGGCTTGAAACCAGCGGTGGAAGAATCACCACCACGCTTCCGGCCTTGTTTTTTGTCTTTGTATTTACTTCCACTTCCACGTGATGACTTGTTTCCATTCTTCTGTTTGGATTTTGTGTTTTTCTTGGTTTGTCTTTGAGGCTTGCTGTTTCTGTTTGTTACCGTGTGGGAAACTGAGGTGGGGACTGGATCGTAGACGTTTGGGGCCCACTTCACTGTCAGCTTTTGAGGTGGGGTCACTCCTCGTTTCTCTCTGCTACCTTTCATGGCTGACACAGGCTTCCAGGCAGTCTGTAGGGAAGACAAATTGTCAAGGGGTAAAATGGTAATTTCACTTCTTCAAAGAATCAATCGGCAAATATCGAAAATTGTAATAGAAAACAAAGTGGATTTATATGTTTGGATCATGAAGGCTCGATATAACAGGCTAATTGGATTTATAATTAGGGTTAAATACAAGACATAGCAACCTACTTTTGTATATCTGTTTATTATATAATATAGCATCCTACTTAGAGGTAATTTCACTTCAAAGAATCAATCATCAATGGGTTGATTTATGTTTATGCTAACAGGGATAATATATTGAAATAAAGGCAATACGTACAGGCAAGGATGGAGGACGTGAGCAAGTTGGATGAACAGATTTAAGGTTGTCACAAGGTGTAGGCTCATTGACAGTTATGGCTTCTACAGATGCTCCTGGAGAGAGAGTGGATTCGATTGAACAAATAAATGTTGTTGGATTGCTGAAATACTTCTCATATTTTCCATGTGGTGGTTTAGAGCCTGGAACCCCATCTTTGTCATCTTGGATATTCAGAAACTGAGTGACATTTTTCCCGAGTTTATCCACAGAAAGATTTTGAGTGGATTCAGGTGTGTATATATACAATCCATGGCAGTTGTTTACATCAACAGAGGTTGATACATCAATGTCCATTGGCACTGGTTTGCAGCTGCAAGTGAAATGTAATGAATTGTGACTCTAGTAAACTCAAATTTCTATGTAATAGATTAGTACCCTGCCTGCACATTAAAGCACCTCCATGTTGATTCGGAAGAACAACCAATTCTGTTTTAGGGCTCATTGTTCATTGCCTTTAGCTTGTTAATGCAGACATACACAATTCAATTCATTGCCCAGAATACTAACAGCATGTTACAGTATAATTTGTTTTGACTTTCATCTTAAATATCGTTAAACATGCAGATCAGCAGTTGGAATCACAACAATAAAAAAAATACTTAATTACTGAATCTAACATTAAACTGAAGTTTGCAAGCAAATGAGTGAATGGAACAAGAACTAAGAAAACATGTACGCAAAATGAAACATTATAGGAATTGTTTCTGACAAAGAGAATGTGAATCCACTGTATATACACATGTGATGTAAATCTATCAGAAATGCAACATCTACACGGGGATCAGCCCAATGCGTCAATGTGAAAGAGAAATATGTAAATATGTAACGATATGTACCTTTTTCGTTAAATAATATCGGTTTAATCCAAACTTCAACACGCACCTGAATCAAACAGTCCAGGATACCTCGAGGCGGATTTCACTTATCGATCGCGCGATCAGACTCCGATTAGTCGAGGAGAGCGAGTTCGCCGTATCAGAGGCAGAATATGGTAATAAAATCGAAAAACGAGAGGGGAAGATAGATTGAGAAGATTACACAGGGCAAAAGCTACAGATGCTAATTAGACGGAAAAGGACGAATAATAGGCTGAGTGTTAACTAAGATTACCACGACGATCACCTTTTTCAAGACGGGGTTTCAGATGATAAGAACGTGAACTGCTACCATAGAAAGAGGTAACGCAAGGGAGCGTGGAGAACTGGAGTGAAGGCACCATTGTTCGATGCACTTCAAACCCTAAATTACTAGAAAACAACCACCAAAACCCAACTGAAGAAACTCGATTGGCGACCGATTGGATCCGACAGAATAAATGAAAACTATATATGTTGATCGAGGGATCCGATTACATCAACTGGAGGATCGGACAGCGATGATCGGAATTTAAGAACAGTGCAAGGTAACGAGAGAAACTTGCGAGAGTGAAGGAGCTTTTAGCTAGTGCGATAAACCTGGTCTAGAGAGTGAGACGTTATTGGTTGATGATGGGTCAACGTTGACCTTAATTCACAATAACAGGCTATACAAGTTTATAGAAAAAAACAATTTATGTTTTATAAAAAATTTTATGTATAGAAAAAGATTTTATGTACAATTTTTTACTATACAGGATACACAATAATTTATATTATACATACTAATTTATATTTTATAAAATTGTACAATACAATTTTTTTATATATAACAATTTATATTTTATAAAGTTATACAATATAATATTTCAAAACATAAACTATTATGTATATAAAAAAAAATTGTTATGTACTACATTTAATAATGTCATATTAACGTAGATAGTTGAAAATGACTGTCAATTTCCTTCAAAATCTGTATACATTATTAGACCATCTTTTTATATCTAAAGATGATCCTCAGTCTAAAACCGAATTGAAAACCGAAAACAAGGAACCGATTTAATGAGATATAGAGAACTGAGAATTGGACTAGATAGTGTAGTTTTGGTTCCATCGGTTCTGGTTCCGGTTCGGTCCTACAAGTATGTGTGCTCTTTAAGTATGTGTTTGGTTCCCAACCTGACCCGAACCCAACCGAGAACTGAAGAATCGAGAACTAGACTGGTTACCCCGGTTTCGATTGTGGTTTTCTTTTTCGGTCAGGTTGGGTTCCACTGAGCCAGATGCTCGTCCCTATTTATATCATTCTACGTCCGACGTATCCTACTTGATAAGTGTGCCCCCATACAAATTAAGTGCAGTTTAAGACTATGGGGAGTGGACTCGACATGAGCTTGGTGTTGAGTGACTCAGTTCAGTATGCCGAGCTCAACAGCCTAACTCGGTTAAGCCTTGTAGAAGACAAAGAGTCTCTCCATCTCCTCCTTCCATTCTTCTTATTATTTTCTCCTTCACTTAGCATGCCTCTTTTATTATTGACAAAATTTAGCACACTAATAATCCTTATGATTAATTGTATTAACGATTCTGTTTGAGTGTTTATGAAATGATAAAAATACTCTTTACTTAAAAAAAATTATATAAAAAGCAATTGAGTGTTTACGAATGAAATGATAAAAATACTTTTTGTTTTTATTTTTATTTTTTAATTTTTTTATATAAAAAGCAAAACATACTAAAGAAAATACATACAAAACTTATGGGCCAACGGCCCATTTTCAAATCGCAAAAATCCCAAGTATTACGCAAAATCAAGCGCTACGACGGAATGTTTGTTTTTGTTATTGTGTGTTCTTGAGAGTTCAGAGAGAGTGAAACACCACACCTGTTTCCCAAGAAGGCTAAGAGAAACCCTAGTGAATACTTCGCACATTCCATTCTACACTCGCATCTGAAGCTATGCAAGCGCCTGTTCTTGTTCTAAGTAAGTATATCTTCTTCCTCTATAGCACGCTCCAGTCTCCACACACATATCGGTGATCTAGTGTTGTGATCTTATAATTTGTTAGCTGTTAAAGCCATTGTTAGTGGCGTTTTATGTTCCTCTGTGTAAAACTGTAAAACCAAAACTCCAGTGATGACCGTGGAAGAACGGATGGTAGAAGGTTTCCGGACCAACTTTTCACTGTAAAAGAGTGGGAAATGGCAAATAAAGACCCCAATGATTCTATAGTTATGTCATTGGGATCGATTCTCATTTTAGCTCTATGTCTCGTTATTATCTTTGGGAGATGGAGTTCGGTTATGTACGTCCTCTGTTCTCAGGCTAGAGTTCCTTTTATGTGGTATTGTGCCGTAACATGGTAATTGTAGTCAAATTTAGTGTGAGGTCTGAGATTTTTAGAATGTTAAACAAGAACTATAGAAATCATTTTGGCTTTGAGAATATTGGATACGAATCACGAAAATGTTCATATCATTTGGTAACTGGTGTACATTAATCTCGATTTATTAGTATTAAAGAGCCAGTGAAAGTCGATATATTCAAAAGCTTTTTGCATGTTACAAAGTTCAAACTAACCTCAGTTAATGCATAAAACTTGGAAATGCTGATTTGTGTACTATTTGAAATGCTGATGTGACTACCATTTGAAATGTACAGATGATTCGCTCACACGTGAATCTGGAACTAAGGTCCATCATGCAAATATCCAAGCTTCAAAGGTAAACAGAACTTGATTTGTGATCAACACATTATCTTTAAAGCCTCTTTAATTCTACTAATTATAATGTCATGGAAGCTACATCATAAAAAATTTGCAGCACCCTAATTGCAAAAAAGATGGGACTAATATTTGATCACTTTACTTCCGGATTGCAGGCTGTTGCTGATATTATTCGCACTACCTTGGGCCCTAGGTCCATGTTAAAAATGCTTCTTGATGCTACAGGAGGTGCTTAAAAATACTTCTTGATGGGACTAATATTTGGTCACTTAATATTTTTAAGTTATTGGTTTTTGTATGATGGCAGGAATCGTGGTCACTAATGATGGAAATGCTATTTTGCGTGAGTTGGATATTGCTCACCCAGCTGCAAAGGTATTTATGATTTGATAATTTTTTTTTAATAAAAATTCATGATTGAATCTTTAACTTGTTTCCACTCTTTCTTCTTTCTTCTGCTTGTGCTAGTTTCATTTAATTTCAACTTTAGGTAGATCTTGTCGACATTTTAATGTCCTTTACACATAAATTCTTTGATTTTTACATATTTAGACAAATATAACTCATCTTTTTTTTAATTTTTTTTACATGTTTAGTCCATGATTGAACTAAGCCGCACACAAGATGAAGAAGTTGGTGATGGAACTACATCAGTTATTGTTCTTGGTATACCTCTTTCAAAATTTTATATCATATGATTGTTTGTTCTTTTTATTATGTATTTTTTTATTTAATATACATTTTTTTCTTTGAATTTTAGCTGGTGAGATGCTTCATGTTGCGGAAAATTTCATTGAGAAGAAGTATCATCCTACAGTAATTTGCCGAGGTACTATTTGGATAATGTTGATATCTTTTCTTCACTTTATGCAAAAAGTCTCTAGTATTAATCATATAAAAAGTATACCTTTTTCAGCTTACAATAAGGCCCTTGAAGATGCTCTTGCTGTGTTGGACAAAATCTCCATGTCTATTGATGTGAATAACCGTAAGCCCCATCACTACTTTTCAATTTTAACTCTCACCAAAACCTTATATCATCAATTAACTAAGCAAAAAGACCAATTAACCATGCTTCTTTCAAGATTTTACCATTTTCAAGATTTTGTTTAAGCATGTACTTCCATCACCAGGTTCAATGATGTTGGGTTTAGTAAAGAGTTGCATTGGCACAAAATTCACAAGTCAATTTGGGGATCTAATTGCAGTAAGTATTATTTTTCTTCCTCCCCCCATGTTTTAGTTAAACCAATCCACATTTTCCGGAACTATATAAAGATCTTTTTTTTTTAATATATTTTGTATTGAAAAGGCTCCTATTTTTTCTTGGATGATCACAAACATGACCAAAATGGGTTGTTTCATTTGACAAATTGGCTACCTTTTTAACCTTTTAACAATTTTTTGATTATCCCTTTTTATAAATATCTTTTAGGATCTAGCACTTGATGCAACAACAACAGTTGGCGTTGATCTAGGCCAGGGAGTAAGAGAAGTAGACATAAAAAAATACATCAAAGTAGAAAAAATCCCAGGAGGGCAATTAGAAGATTCCAAAGTCCTAAAAGGTGTTATGTTCAACAAAGACGTTGTTGTCCCTGGAAAAATGAAAAGAAAAATCATAAACCCACGTGTCATTTTACTAGATTGCCCTCTCGAATACAAAAAAGGAGAGAATCAAACAAACGCAGAGTTAGTCCGAGAAGAAGACTGGGCAGTTTTGTTAAAAATGGAAGAGGAATATATCATGAATTTATGCGCTCAAATACTCAAATTTAAACCCGATTTAGTAATCACAGAAAAAGGACTTAGTGATTTAGCGTGTCATTATCTAAGCAAAGCAGGAGTTAGTGCAATTAGGAGATTAAGGAAAACTGATAATAACAGGATTGCAAAGGCATGTGGGGCTGTTATTGTAAATAGGCCAGATGAGCTTCAAGAATCTGATGTGGGAACTGGAGCTGGACTTTTTGAAGTGAAAAAGATTGGTGACGAGTTTTTTGCTTATATTGTTGATTGTCAAGATCCGAAAGCGTGTACTGTTCTTCTCAGAGGTGCTAGCAAGGATCTTTTAAATGAAGTGGAGCGAAATTTACAGGTTGGTATTTGATTTTTTTATTTTTTTTTCCAAAAATTAATTTGGTATATGATTGAATGGAATGAAAAACAGGATGCAATGTCAGTGGCTAGGAACATTTTAAAACATCCAAAACTTGTCCCTGGTGGTGGTGCCACTGAGTTAACTGTTTCTGCTACATTGAAGCAAAATAGCTCATCAATAGAAGGCATCGAAAAGGTAAAATGTCTTCTTTTAAATTATAAAATTTGGAATTTTATAAATTTTTTAGTTTGGAAATAAAAGATTTAACTTAAAACCAAATAAGCAATTTTATTCATGTGGATTTCTTTTTTTGGTTAAAAACAGTGGCCATATGAAGCTGCAGCTGTGGCATTTGAGGCTATACCCCGAACCTTGGCACAAAACTGTGGTGTCAATGTCATTAGAACAATGACTGCTCTTCAGGGAAAGGCAAGAAATATTTTCTCATTTACATTCTAGTCCCCAAGTATAGTTGATTTTTGCAATTTTAGTCCTTTTTGTAATGTTTTTGATCTGTCTTCCAAGTAAAATGACATTCTTAGTCCCTGTTTTCAGCTTACTTTTGCAATTTTGGTCCTTGTTTAAGGTTTTCGTAACATTTTTGGTCCATGTTCCAAGTAAACTGACTTACTGTGGTCCATTAGTATGGCTGATTTTTGCAAATTTGGTCGCAAAAGTATAGGCATCCACTCATATTACTTGGAAGTTGGAACATAGACCAATATCATTAAGAAAACTGCAAATAAGGACAAAAATTGCAAAATAAAACTTTTTGGGACCAAATTTGCAACAGTCAGCTATACTCAGGGACCAAAAAATGTAACTTACACCTTATTTTAATATAAAAATGTAGCTATACTCAGGGACCAAAAAATGTAACTTACACCTTATTTTAATATAAACATTATTTTTTTGATGCTACAGCATGCAAATGGCGAGAATGCATGGACAGGAATTGATGGAAATACGGGTGTAATTGCGGATATGAAAGAACTTAAGGTACAAATTACAATCTTTCTTTCTTTAATTAGAATCTTCTTCTGCTTATTGTAAATTGACAATTCTACCCTCCCTTTGAAGATTTGGGATGCATACAATGTGAAGGCGCAGACATTCAAGACAGCCATTGAAGCGGCGTGTATGCTTTTAAGAATTGATGATATTGTGAGTGGAATAAAAAAGAGGCAAGCTCCTGGATCTACTCAGCCATCGAAGCCAACTATTGAGCAAGAAGGTGATGCAGACACTGAGCAAATGATTCCCGAGTGATGACGATTAGGGAGGGGTATTATTGTCATTTACTTTTTTCTTTTTTTCTAATGTTGGTTAGTGTTAGGATATGGAGAGTACGCTGCTGTTGTTATATCTTGAAATTTTGGTGCTTCTGTTTTTGGTTATGGGGTTCGCTTTCATTCTTTACCACTCTTAGTGGATGAGTTTATATAACTGTAGGGGGTATTATCGTCATTTGCTACTGTTTCTTTGAATCTTGTGTTGTTTTGTTTTAAGTTTTTTGAAAGGCTTGTGTGTTTAGTAAGGGCTTGGCCTCAAAAGCTTTAGACATGGACCTCCAATCTTAAGTAGAATATACATTTAAGAATTACAAATTGAATCCTAGGCATTTGATATTTTAAGGAAGAAAATGACAAAAAAAATGGCTAACAATATGAAAATGTTTCAAAATCTAATGTATAGTACATAATTGGAAAAGAAAGAAATATTCGGGTAATAACGAATGAAGATTTGGGTCTATCAAGCCAGCTTTCCTCGATGAAAGCCCATAAAAGGGCCCAAAAACTTAAACCCGTCATCAAAGCAAGCCTAAGTCTTCGTTATCATATATATGTAGGCCGGGTCTTTCATCCGGAGAATATTGGGGCACCCTGTGGGGCAATGTGTATAAGTTTGGGCTTTATTAACGTGACTCATTTGACGACTCTATACATGAGTGTTCCCGAGTCTACCGACATAGAATATGGAATCTTTTCCATTTAAGTTAGTTGTACAAAGCATGTTTGTTTATATAGGCAATGTGATTTGCGAATCTTTTATCTGCTCCGTAAGGTAGCAAGAGGTAGCCAATTTCTCTAAGTAGGCATAAAATTATTTGAACTGTAGGAAAAATAGTGTGGACAACTAGTCAGATTTAGGTGAAACGGTTCTGTAAAGTTTGTTCATACAGACAACGTGGTTATAGTTACCAACCATGCAATTCGTACTGCATGGTAAGATTTCTTAACCACCCCATAAATTGAGGCTCAAGATAAATGTCATTCACTTCATCATATTCAAATCAAAGAAAGGGGAGGCAGCAATCAATACAAACGTCGCAAAAGTAAATCCTAGGTATTTGACATTTTACTAAGTAAAATTTATATATATTTGATGTGAAATTAGAATATGATATGATGAACTTGCGTCGTAAGGTAGAAAAACAAACGGGTAAATAACTATGACTAATTGAATTATAACATTAAATTAGATTAGTGTAAGACTAATAGAAAATAACATTAAATTAAAAATTATATTCAATTCTACTAGATGTGCATTCATTTCGTTTATAAAGGCGGACCGTTGGGGTTATATGGTTCGAAATATATTTACCTTAATCATATTATCTAAATTTTATTTCTATGTGGGGAAATTGTCCAAAGAAAAAGAATAGATTGTTGGGCATTTGCTATGGTACATTATGGAGTATATGGAAGGCAAGAAACGTAAGACTTTTTAGTAACCAACGGGTGCAGGCTATGAAAGTTGTCGACATAATCAAATCAACGACTTTCCTTTGGTTTAGGCACAGAGTCGGGCACGAAGATCTCAACTGGTTCGACTGGAATGTCATCCCGTTTAACTCTCTATAATGCTTCTTCAATGTTTCTTTATTGTAATTTTCTTTTGGTCCCCTGTACTGTTTTTCTTCTCCTAGCATCTTGCTAGGGGCGGTTTCTTCTTTTAATATATATTTCTCTCGTTTGCCGGTTCAAAAAAAAATATATATATAAATTTTATTTTATGTAGACAATAACAATGTTTTATATCAACCTTTTGATTTATTATAAAAATTATTATATCATAATTAATATCAATGGCTTAGTTATATTAACATTATAAATTTGTTAATATATTCCTATGCAACAAGCCTAACACGGATATATAGCTTGCTGAATGTGACGTTCCATTAAGGCCATTAAGTTAAAAAAAACACCACCAAAATTGTTAGCATTTCGAGAAGTATATTACTTTGAAACATCTTATTCCAAACCACAAAACAACATAACACTAGGGTAAAAGAAAAAAAAGTTACAACACATAATATAATGGTAGAAACATAGACCATCCTAACAATCAAAAAGTAGAACAACATACAATAAGACCTCACCAGTAACCTCTCTTAGGTTTCCGAACAGCAAGAAACCGATCCAAAGCCGCCAACGCATCCTCAAATTTGCGAATTTTAAGGTACCCCATAATCATCTTCACTTCACTATCATTAAACATAGCAGTATTCATAATCCGATCCACCAACTTAACCAAAGTCTCCTCCATTTGCAAAGCACAAAGCCCTTCAGCCAACATATAAACCGAAGAAAACTCGGGTACATATCCTTTTTCAGTCATCTCAAATACAAAATCAACCGCTTGCCCAATGGGCCCACCACCCGAACAAAGCCCTTTAGCCACAATCCGATACGACACCTCATCAGGCACACAACCCTTTCCCTCCATTTCCCTAAAAAACTCCATTGCTGACTCAGCACCCCGTTTCTTAAACAACGTTTGAATCACGGGATTATACGCGTGAGGTGTCACCACCATGTTTTTCAACTGAATGCTTCTTAACAACCTACAAGCAACATCAATCCTTCCCGCTTTACATAACCCTTGAATCAAAGTCCCATAGGTTACAATATCGGGTTCACATCCGTTTGTGATCATAACTTGAACAGTGTCTGTAGCGCGTTTTATGTCTCCCATTTTACAAAAATGAGAAAGAATTGAATTGTAAGTGAATTTATCGGGTTTTAGACCTTCGATTATCATTTGATCCATAAGCATGGCTGCTTCTTCTGCTTTTCTGTTTTTACAAAGCCCATCGATAAGCGTGTTGTATGTCACAACGTTTCTTGAAATCCCTTGAAGCTCCATTTGGTCAAAAATCTCCCCGGCTTCTTCAAACTTTTTGTTTTTACAAAACCCGTCGATGAGGGTATTATAGGTAATTACATTTCGAGGGATTCCGGTTGCTTCCATTTCTTTTAGTAGCTTCAAAGCTGAGTCTAGTTTCCCTTTGTTACAATACCAATTGATTAACATATTGTAAGTGAACTCATCTGGTTGACACCCTTTTGTTTTCATTTCATCGAACACTTGGAGTGCAGTTTCGAATTTGCTTGATAAACAAAGACCTTGGATTAAAGCATTGAAAGTGCATACATCGGGTGAGATTCCTTGACTAGTCAAACCAAGGGCAAGTTTGGAAGCTGCTTCGATTTGGTTTTCTTTACATAAACCACTGATTATAGTGTTGTATGTGATTGTATTAGGGGCACAGTCTCTTTCAACCATTTGGCTCAAAATCTCATTTGCCTTTTCAACTTTACCAATTTTACACAATCCTGAAATCACTGTGTTGTATGTGTATACATCAGGATCGGATCCTTCTAGAAGCACTACTTCCAGAATCTCTAACGCATGGTCAACATGTCCTGCTTTACATAGACCGTTGACCAAAGTGTTGAATGTAAATCGATCCGGATAAAATCCTTCCTTTGACATCTCCTGGATGAAATTCAAAGCTTCTGAAATTCGTCCCATTTTGCAAAATCCATGGATTAATGTGTTAACTGATATATTAGTGAATTCACATTGTGCTAACCCCATTTGTTCTTTGATTCTTAATGCACCATCTAAGTTTCCTTCTTCAATGAAACCATGCATTAATGTGGTGTAAGTTTTCTCATCGGGTGTCAATCCATGGGTAGGCATGTCTTCCATCATCAAAATTGCGGGTCTCATTTGATGGGCTTTACAGAGAGCTTTTATCAAGATATTGAAAGTTGAAACATCTTTTTTGACTCTTTTACTTGACATTAGTGAGTGAACATCTTCCATTAGCTTCAATTTGTTTCCATCCACAAGAATGTTTAACAAGAAATTGAAAGTGTGTGTACCTGGTTTCACTCCGAACTCTTCTTCCATTATGAACAACACACAAATGGCTTCATCGTATAAATTAAACTTGGCAAAGCTTTCGATTAGTATAAAGAAAGTGTCTTCAGCTACCTTACATGATGATCTCTTCATGTCATCCAATACCCCTCTGATTGAATCGATTGAGCCTACTTGGCCAAGCTTTTTAAGCATCTCCTCGTAGATAGACAAAGACGGCTCGAAACTTGGTTGCTTTAAAGCCCATTTGAAGGCGTTAAGCACAGAGTGTTCATCTTTTTCACGACGCAGGATGTCAATAAGTTCTTTTTCTGAAGGTAAAGTGGTGAGTTGCTCATAGTGTTTAGTGGATGCAAATGTAACGAAGTTTGCGAGCTTTGTAGGAGTGAAAAGTAGAGATGGGTGGTTTAGATTTTGAGGAAGAGTCCATGGGTCGCAACTTAGACAAGAAGCAAAAGCCATTCAAGCTATTCAAATCAATAGAGACACCTTAACTTATACTACGACCGTGTACCACTTCAGGCAGAGAAAAGAAAACTCATTCAGGCAATTAAACAAACACCTGGCGGGCAGCTAAAATTCTCACTATTTGACAAAAAGAATGAAAACCCTTTAAGGAAATCCAACAAACAATTAACTTATGCTACCCCGTAGCACGCTTTTGAGAAGTGTATGCTCATCTGTTGCTCATGAATTCAATCAAAGAAACTTACAGAGACGAGGTAATCTAACCTGGGGAGATTACAAGCGATAAGCAAAGTAACAAAAAAGAAATCTTTGAGCAGAATCAGTGAAGGGAGGAAAGACGATTTCACTAGTGAAAGAAGAAAGAAGATTTGTTGAGAGAATCAATTGAGGTCTTCAATGGCGAAGTTAACGGATAAACCATCTATAGGAGCCGCCAACAGACCGCCAAATTCAGTAACCTGCAGCTTGTCAAATACCTATTTTACCCTCGAGTCAACTTAATTGAATATAAAAATATCTCTGGATTATTAAATGCAGTATAGACAATAAGAAAATGCTCCCGTGGGAAGTTGGATGGTCGCACGCTCAAAGAAGGAAAACTCCGGCGAAAACTCAGGCGAACAACAATGTAATCAACTTTCATGTCACAAATATCCCTACTGGTGTAACAAAGGCTGAGTTTAAGGAATTATTTGTAATGGACTAGATAAGATAACACAAAGAAGACAGATACGAAAATGCCTCAGAGGTGGGATGTATGGATTGATTGAAATAACAGAGCAATTACAAGATAACAAGGGATAATCTGTAGCTATTCCAGATACTACTCTCTCCTGAAAGACTAACTTCTATTTGCCTACCTCTCCTCTCCCATTCTCTCTACTAAATACTAATTCCCAAAATGCCCCTCAACTGTTCTATTGGCTGACATCAGATAGTGGTGGAGGCATTTCCACTGTGGCCTTCCTTCCGTGATCTTGTGGTCCTTTTCCCTTTTCCCTGTGATAGGTGAACAATATGGGTGGGTGCATGACATTACCCTGCCCCAAAAGACTGATCTTGTTCTCAAGATCAAAGTCTGGAAATAACCCTTGAATGTTCTCCAAATCCTCCCATGTTGACTCGAATTCTGGGCTGTCCTTCCATTTGATAAGCACTTCCAATTTTTTTCCTTGTCCTTTGTCATCCTGTCGTACTCCTAACACTGTTTCCGGCCTGAGTTTGAGCTCCATAGTCTCAGTTAGTTGAGGGGGAAGTTCCGGCTGTGCTGTTTGGTTGCCTATCACCTTCTTTAGTTGGGATACATGGAAGACAGGATGGATTTTCACTCCGTCTGGAAGTGCTAGCCTGTAAGCGACCTCACCAATTTTCTGTAATACCTGGAAGGGCCCATAGTAGCGGGCAGCTAGCTTCTGAAAGGGCCTCGCTGTCACTGATTTCTGTCGATATGGTTGGAGTTTGAGATAAGCCCTTTCCCCCACCGTAAAGTTCAACTCCTTTCGCTTTCGATCCGCTTGGATTTTCATCTTCTGTTGCGAATAGAGCAAATGACCCTTCAGATCATCCAATACGCCGTCCCTTTCCACTAGTTGCTCCTCAAGAGTGGAGACGACTGTGATGCCCCGGGGTATGCGGTTGACTTTTGGGGGATCTCTTCCATATACAACCTTGAACGGAGATACACGGGTGGCAGTGTGGTAAGAGGTATTGTAGCAGAATTCAGCCCAGGCGAGCCATTTGGCCCACTCTTTTGGTTTCCCTTGAACGAAACAACGGAAGAATAGTTCTAGGGACTTGTTAACAATCTCCGTTTGCCCATCCGTTTGGGGGTGGTAGGCAGTGCTACGGAGTAGGTTCGTTCCCTGCACATGAAACAACTCACTTCCAGAATGTACTCATGAAAACCTTGTCCCTATCGGAGACCACCGATAGTGGGAACTCGTGGAGTCGGACTACTTCATTGATAAATACCGCAGCAACAGTTAGAGCGGTGAAGGGATGCTTAAGCGTCATGAAGTGTGAGTATTTTGAGAGTCGGTCCACCACTACCAGTATTGTATCAGCCCCTTGAGATTTTGGAAGTCCTTCAATGAAGTCCATCGACACGTCATCCCAAATTAGGGCTGGAATAGGCAGGGGTTGCAAGAGGCCGACGGGGTGGGTGGTGAGTGACTTCTGTCGTTGGCACACGTCGCATTCCCTTACATACTTCTTAATTGTTTTTCTCATTCCCACCTAGTACCACTCCTCTGCCATTCTCTGATACGTTCAGAACTCTCCTGCGTGCCCTCCAATGGCTGAATCGTGAAGTTCTATCAACAGTTTCGGAATGAACAATGAGGACTTAGGAATCATCAACCTTCCCTTGTATCGCACCTGGCCCCCTTCCACTGAAAATCCGACATGTCTCTTTCCCAGTTGAGTGATATCCTCCTTAAGTTGTTGGATGAAGGAGTCTGCTGCTATCTCTTTTTCCAATTCTTCTAAGGGTATTGACCACGATGAGAGCATGGTGGCTAGTTCGGTGACTAGGTGTAACTGTGAGAATTCTCTAGAAAGGGCGTCGGCCACCCGATTAGTCACCCCCGGTTTATATTGGATTTCGAAGTTATAGCCCAGAATCTTGTAAAGCCACTTTTGATATTCTGGTCCCACTTCTCTTTGATCCATAAGGAATTTGAGGCTTTTTTGATCGGTTCTAATGATGAAGTGGGTTCCCAACAGGTAGTGTCACCATTTCTTAACTGCTAAAACTATCGCCATTAACTCCTTCTCGTATATGGGCTTGGATCTACTGCGCATTCCCAACACATGGCTATAGAAGGCAATAGGATGCCCGTCTTGTGTCAGCACAGCTCCCAAGCCTGGTCTAGATGCATCAGCCTCTACTACAAAAGGTCTTTGGAAGTTTGGCATTGCTAGAACCGGAGCTTGTTGGAGGGCTGACTTCAGAGTTTGAAAAGCTTCCTCAGCCTCGCCCGACCACCTGAAACAGTCTTTTTTAAGTTGATCTGTGAGGGGGGAAGCAATCTTAGCATATCCGGAAACAAATTTCCGGTAGTATCCGGCCAAGCCCAGGAATCCCCGAAGCTCTTTCACTGTGGTTGGGGTAGGCCATTGACTGATTGCCTGAACCTTGTCCTCGTCCATGGCCACTCCCTTCTCAGATATGATATGCCCCAAGTAAGCCACCTGTGTTCTGCCGATCTCACACTTACCAGGGTTTGCAAATAATTGATGAGTGTGTAGAAGGTTCAACACCTTTGCCAAATGTTGAAGGTGTTGTGTTTCATTTCGGCTGTAAACTAATGTAACGCCCGCAGATCCGGGCTAGTCAATTTAGAGACGATGAGCATCAATAATGAGTTTTTGATGGAAGATTATTTAGAAGGATTAATCTTAACCAAGTTTTAGTATATGTTACAAGGGTTCCGCACATATAAAGAACGCCGAAATCCGAGTTATAACGAAGAAGTTATGGCCCGTCGAAGTTTTACGGCAAAACCGGCACGGCACCGGGAGACGTAAATAGTGAATTTATGGTATAAGACTTTTTAGCCTTAGTGATCTAAACAAAATTTGTAGTATACGTTAAACCGAGAACATACAAAAAAAGAATGCTCAAATCTGACTTCGTATGAGGAAGTTATGAATTTTCTAAGATTTGGCATAGCAGTGCACGACCCGAAACTCGAATTTTAGTTCAAACGGTTTTTGGCCTACGCGACCTAAATGAGAGTTGAAGATCTCATTAATAGGAACTCAACGGTAAAAAGACAGACGAAAACGGAGTCCATATGTAGAAGTTATGAATTTTACGCGGACATTTAACAATATAATCTCCTCCTACTGTTAAATTTAAGATCGGTCGAGAATTAGCCGACGGAGTCTAAATGAAAGTTTTAGATATTGTTTTTACCTACGCGTGGATATAAAGAATGTTGAGAGTAGAGCTTGTATGTTAAAGATATGGACGAAACTTGGTCCCTACTCTTCGAACGCGATAAATTCGATACAGTTTTGTAAATCTGAGATAGAATGAGAATTAGCTGACGGCGTCTAAATGAAAGTTGTAATACTCGTAAATACCAATTCGTGGATATAAAGAACATCAAAAATGGAGTTCGTATGAACGAGTTACAAATTATAATAGCATATTTACGTATTAAAATAAAGTACAAATCATATATACGTACACATATATATACAAATGTATATATCATTAGAAAAGTATCAACGATGCGGTTATTATAAGACTAGTGTTGAGTACTTTCGACATTAGTTTAGTACAAATATCGTTAAATCTATTTAAAATAGTATTATGAAGGGGTGTTTAGTTGTTTATATAACTATATGGTCATTAAGTAATTATGGAGGGTAGTTTTTGTAAATTCAATTACTATAAATATGAGGCTTGGGCTCTCATATTTCTTGCACCATTCTCTTGATTCAATAGTCTTTCTCTTCTTATCCCCCGAGCATTCGGTCCCTCGTGATTCGACTTCTCTTTCTGTAGTTTTAGTATAGTAAGGTGAGCGCTGAAGCGCTGCACGAATCTTTCTTAGAAAAATTCAGCTACGAAGTTCTGCCCCTGCAGAGCCCGACTCCTAGCTAAAACCCCCTTGTAAGTAAGTTATACTTACCCTATTTTAAATATAGTTTATATTTAAAATTAGTATTGTTATTATGAACTTATAATAAATATTTGAGCTATTATTATGACTTATATAAGTATCGTTATAATATCTTTTTAGCTACTCGCGGTATAGGGAATCTGGTTTAAAGGGTCGCATAGGGTTGTTGGATTTCAGAAGTGCTATATGCCAAAATGGTCCTGCCCTCCGGTGATTTATGTCTGGCCCCTGTCTATACATAGTGGTTGGAAAGTATTGTTTAAACGCTTATATAATAATAATAATAATAATAATAATAATAAGACTAATAATTAGTCACGGTAAATATTAGACTAAAATCTAGTGGTAATAATACTAGGT